CAAAGACATCTTGTAGCCCAGGCAGTCAGTGGTTTTGGGCTCTCATGTGATGTCCACTGGACTCTAATTGCTGTAAATACAAGCCTAGAGTGTGATTTTATCTGGCACAGAGCCCTTTCATCTGGCTACCTTGCACCCTGATGGTAGCCCATCCATGTGAACATCATGACCTGCAACTGAGCATGATGGAAATTGACTTAAGAATCAGAGCCAGAGGCCAGGCACGGTGGCTCACACCTATAATCCCAGCATTTTGGGAGGCCGAGACTGGTGGATCACCTGAGGTTGGGAGTTCGAAACCAGCCTGACCAACATGGAGAAACCCTGTCTCTCCTAAAAATACAAAAATTAGCTGGGCATGGTGGCACATGCCTGTAATCCCAGCAACTTGGGAGGCTGAGGCAGGAGAATCGCTTGAACCCTGGAGGCAGAGGTTGCGGTGAGCCAAGATTGCGCCATTGCACTCCAGCATGGGCACCAAGAGTGAAACTCCATCTCAAAAAAAAAAAAAAAAAAAAAATCAGAGCCAGAGTAATGGGTTCTGCAGAATGATATCGTCTTGTACAGAAAAGACCACATTTCACTGACTGCTTTTCCCTTAGTCCATTCAGAAATACAGTCCTACTCTCAAGGGGCCAAAGTGTTTCTCCTTCAAGGCCAGTCCTTGGCTTACTCTTGTCTCAGAGGGCCAGCTGGACCAAACTCAGTTTCCAAGGACTGATTGGTTCTCTCTGCTTCCCATCACCCTCTCCCAGTCAGCCATCAGGTTGTTGAAAGGGACTTAGCAATCCCCGAGCTTCTGCTGTTTGGCTTCAAGACCTTCAGGATGTGAGAGAAGGATAACCCTCACTCTGACGTCACCCTTCCAGCAGCCTGCCCAAAAACCTGAGTGCACCGGTGCTCGTGTGTTTGTGCCATACGTGCTCAAGATAGGCACTGGAGCTGTACCCAGGATGGACCACTGTGGCCATTCCTGTGGACCAAGGATGAGCCATAGGGAGGACCAACCGTGAAAAATGATCCTTTAAAAAGAAATGCAAGGCTTTCTTTTGTATATAAATCACTCTTCTAGCATATTTTAGGTGGGAGTCAAAAGTGTACCAGAGATGCGGACTCGCACTAAAGACAGGATGGGGCTGGAGAGAATGGGAGCTGAAGAGTCTTATTCTGCTCCACCTGTGCTCTTTGTCCTTCTGCCTTTTTCAAAGCCAGATTTATTGAAGTGCAACTTATCTAAGTAAATTCACTCCTTTTAGTGTGCAGTTTTCTGAGTCTTGACAAACACACAAATCATGTGACCACCATCACAAGATATGAGAATAGTCCCAGCGCCCCTCCAAATTTCTTCCTCCCCCTCTGTAGTCAACTATTCCCACTCCCCAGCCCCTGGCAACCTCTAATCTGTTTTCAGACCCTATTGTTCTGTCTTCTTCAGAATGTCATAGAAAATGGATTTTGTCTATAATTTTTGAATGTTCTTTCACTTAGCTGAATGCATTCGGGATTCATTAGTGGTGTTTGGGTGTTTGTTGTTCATTCCTTTTTGTTACTGAGTAGTATTCCATTGTATGGATGTACCTCAGTTTACCTATTCCCCCGCTTAAGGATCATTTGGGTGGTTTCCCGTTTGGGGCAATTATGAATAAAGCGGTAGGTTTTGAAGATACCAACAATACTATTTTACAGTTTTAAACACAACTTACATTTAGTTCTTCTTGTCCTGCAACTCATTGCAAATAGTATATCTGCTGGGGCATGTTCAAAGACTAGGGTGGGGACGTCACAGTCCCTGACAAAAGGTGGTGTATGGAGGGGGTGTGTGCGTCTCCATTCGATGTATGGAAAGAGAGAGATGAATTCAGAGTTTGGGAAGTGCAGTAAAGACAAAGCGCTCACAGGGGGATTGAGAAACTGAGGTGGCAAGTAAGTCTTTTATTTACTCTACGTGTTCTGAGCCCACCAGCCCCTGAGCCCAAGTGTGGGTCCCTGGAACTGGGCATCTGCAGAGACTTCCTAGGGGAGGGGTGGCGTTTGCCCCTCACTGGGGGAGGCCGCCCGGGGAGATGGTGTGAAATAGGGGAGGGAGGAGGAGATGAAGTCGGGATAGCTCTCCACCTTCCTGAGTGACATCCTGCCAGTCCCCTCCACCTAGGTGCGGAGAGCTCCGTTTCACTGCGCCCCTTTGCACCTTGGATTTTCTCTCTTCACTTCCTTGCCCTTTGGCAATTTGCTGTTCGTTAGCACCTCTGCTGCAGACCAGGGGGCAGCCCCAGAAGTCCCACTTTAACCGGAGAGCCCCTGTCCTTCTGTCAAACACACGCATACGCACAAGACTGAAGAGGGGGATGAGTGGAAACCAGCCGCAAAGAAATGGAGTGGGAGGTTCTTCTTTAAAATCCACTCCGTTCAGAACACAGTGAACACCGTTTGACAGAAGAAGGACTATCTAGCTATTCCAAGCTCCGTGCCTCCCCTTTCTTGAGACTGTTGTTACAAGAAACCAATGATTTCTAACAATAGGAACTTCCCAGCTCGGAAGCGGTGTTCGGAGGGGAGCAGCGCTCTCGGCGGGCACCTGCTGCGGTTGGGGTGGGAGGAGTGGTCGTGGAGGCCACTTTCCCGTCCACCGCCAGGGAAGCCCGGCCTGTCTGAAGGGGTCCTCGCCTGTGCCGAGGACGGCCGGGCCTCCGGTCCCAGCACAGCCCCCCTTTCAGAGGACCCCGGGTCTCTGCGCCTGCGGACCAGAGGCTGTTTTCGCACTTGGGCTTCGCGCTTCCTTGACACTTTCCTGTCTCTGCTCGCCGCGCCAGGTCGCGGCGCCTGCCTGGGCGTCTTCCCCAACTCCGGGTCACCTCGGGGCGAGGGCAAGGGTGCCGGGCCGGTGGGGTGTTCCGGCCACTACCGGGCGGGGGAGGGGGCGGCCTTTGCGGAAACTGGCCGAGCTGGCTCAGGGAATGCCAGATATCTGGGGGACCCACCAGTCCCCTGGTGTGCGCGTGGAGGTCTTGGGCCTGGCGGCGCTCCAGCCGCGGGTGTCCGTACCGTCACCACTGTCCTCCCTGGGAGCTGGGCAAGGGGAGCCCTGGACTCTGGGTTGACCTCGTCCCAGTCGGGTTCTTTCTCCTCCCACCCAGGCCCGGCCGCTTTCTGGCGTCCTTCCTCTCCCAGGAGGTCCTGGCCTGTCTCCGTCTCCAAGTCTCTTGACTCCCAGCTCGCCTTACTTCCCAGAGTCTGTGGTCTCTCTCCTTTCTCTGTCTCTGCTCTCTCTGCCGGTCCATTCCCTGCTTTGGTTTTTCCATAATATTTCGTCATTCAACACTCTGTATTTGACTTATTTATTGTCCGTTTTTCTCTTATAGCATGTAAGTTCCTTAGGATAGAATTCTTCTCTACTTTGTCCCTGCTGAGTACTCATGCCTGTAGTGTTCCTGGCACAGAGTAAGTGCTCAGTCAATGTGAAATGAATGAGTGGGTGAGTGAGTGGATGCATGAGTGGATGAATCGCCACCTCTCCCTCTCCGCTGCTGGCCAGTCATTTCTCTCTGTCCTGGTCTCTGCTTGTCTTCCTCTCTCTCTCCCGCTTTTCTCTCCCTCCTCTTGCTTCTCCTCCTCCACTCCTGCATTTTTTCTCTATCCTGCTGACTTGGTCCCTCCATCCTTCTAGGATTTATGGGTTGGGCTCCCTATGCCTCAGAAAGGGTGCACCTGGCTCCTGGTCAGCCTTCATCCCCGGAGCCTTGAGGCCTCCCTCGCCAGTCTAACAGCCTAAGCATCTAGCCAGGTTCCCAGCTCAACTTCCCAAATCCTGGCTGCACACAGGGAAGTCCCTTCTTCCTGCAGTTCCCAGGACCTGGGGACCCTGAGGTGTCCTTAGGAGCAGCCTAGATTTGTGCTGGTGGTTTGTGGGAAGTAGCAGCTCCACTGGCAGATGAAGCCACCAGGGGGATTTGTGCCACCCAGGGTGGGCCACTCCTTCCACTTCTGGTCAGTGTTCTACTCTGAGAAATGGCAGTCCTGCCCATCAGTGCACCAGGTCCCTTGAGGGGAATGTTTCATTCTCCATCTCCCAGCAACTTTGATGGATGCTATTAGCAGCCCTTTTTACAATTTTAATCATTCACCCAACACTTATTGACCACCTACTGTAATCCTTGCTCTGGGCAGACCAGGATTTTGGTCACTGCCTTCACAGAGCATACCTTTTGGGGTGTGTAGAGGGGAGGTGAGTGGTGCATGTGTGTGGACAGCCAAGCCCATATAAATTACTTTATGACTTCAGGGGGCATGGACACATGAATAAAGTGCAAGATCATTTTACTAGTCCAAGGATGTTAACCATGCTCTTGCTCTGGGCTCAGCACAAACAGCTCTGTGACTTCAAAAGTCTCTAATTGGGGGGTAGCGAGGCCCCACATGTGAAAGAATTGGGGCCTGTGTCACCAAGAGAGATCCCAGAGGAGGCAATCCCCGAAGGAAAGGGCCCCTTACAGACTCAAAGAACCTGCAGTCTGGGAACCAGACTCCCTATGGTCTGGGTGGTGGGTGGCCTGGGCAGTAGGTGTTAGCAGCTCTTTCGGGCTGCTGTTTTCTCCAGGTCCTTGGATGGGGAGGGAGAGAGGGAACCAAGTTGGCAGCAAGAAAGGCAGCATACATGGTGGCACCCACATGGCCACTACGCCTCCAGCTGGTGCTCCCCAACCTAGTGGGGCCCCTGCCTGGACTTGCCTGCACTGGACTGGGCTTCAGTCCTAGCCTTAGCTATGCTGGACCTGAAGAGGCCCTTCCTATTCAAAAAGGCTATGGTGTCCATCCTGAACTCGGCAAAAATGTTCAGAGATTCCTTTTCACTTTTTCTCCTCTTCCTGTGGGCTCTTAGATTATGAGATATAAACTATTTAAAACGTCCATTTTATTTTTTAAATGTTAAACATGCTCATTAAAGGAAACTTAGAAAAGTTTTTAAAAGATAGTTTTTAAAAATAGGTTTTCATGGTAGAAAGTCGATATTTAATAAAACGGGGGAAAAAAAGAACTAAGATTCAGGAATCCAGGTTCTAGATCTGCAGTTCCGCCCTTGCTTTGCCACCTCACACAAGTACCTTAACCTTTCTGAGCCTCCATGTGCTGGTTTGTAAGGTGAGGGCGGTAACACCGTTTCTCCCTCCCTCTTGCTAATGATATTGTTGTTCCCCAGAGAAAAATGAGATTTGAAAGTGTTCTGTAATCCGGAAGTGACTATAAAATATGAGGGGGTGTGCCACAAACTCTGGTCCTCAGGGCTGGAAGCACCAGGAAGCACTTGCGGAGGTCTACGAGGGAGAACATGTATTCGCTTTGCAACCCAGAGTAGTAATTTCGAAAGCAAGACCATTAATAAGAGTTGCTGCTTCCTCTCCTCTCGTCTGTAACAGGCTGCAGAGCTCGGTTCCGGGGGAACAGGGCGGGGCCTCTACGTCCACTCCGTATCCCCAAGAATTCTGAGTGTCCGAGGCACGGACCATAGGAAGTGAAGGAAGGTAGGTCGACGTGGCCTTGCAGCTGAATTCGTTCTCCATTTTTCCTTCAGCAGGGACGCATCCTGCTCCGCACCCTGGTTCTCCGCGCTGCACCCGCGGGGGCTCGTGCAGGGCACGGCGGGCAGCGTCGGTGAGGACCGAGTGCTGCGCAGGGAAGGAGAATCGCAGACCGGCGCCCAGGCCTAGTGGGGGAATTCGAGGGCCGTGTGGGGGCAGGACTTGGCATTCGTTTTGCGCGGGTCACCTTGAATGTCTGTCCGCAACCCTCGCGAGCTGCCGCAGCGGTGCGTCCATATCTTGGAGGAATTCGTTCCATAGAAGGAGGGTTGATTCTCTCTGGGGTTTCTTGTTTTCCATTATAAGACTCTGGCGAACTTGGTGGCGCCAAATTTTTTTCAGACGTTGCTTTTGTTTCGGGTGTAGCAGCCAAGATCATGGTCCCTGGCGTTGCACTTGGTTTAAAGCAAACTCGGACACGTCCCACCAAAAACTCGCGGGAACTCGACACTGGGAAACCATCAGTGGTTTCACTGTGAATTCCAGCATCCACCGTTTATTTTTATTTTTTGGTGGAACCAGTGTTTAAATTCCTCTGTACACGATACGCAGCCTATAATTTGCCTCTTCTAGGGTATGGACCAGCTCAAGTCCCAGGAACCTTAATGGAACAGGGCAAAGCAATTTATTCTTGCTTTGGAGATATTTTCTGAAAGAGTACAGTACACCTAAGTAATTCTTATTTGTCTAAAATCTGACGACCTGACGCTGGGTCATTAGACCCAGGCTCTTAGGAAAAAAAAAAAAAAAAAAAAAAAAAAGACGTTCACAGTCTAAAAAAGGTTAAAGCACTTGTGTAGCAGTGCATTGCTTCTGATTTTTTTTTTTTTTTAAAAAAAAAAAAAAAAAAAAAAAAAAAAAAAGTCAAAGACGTTCACAGTGTTAAATTCTCCTCCGAGATTATGGGAAAGGAAACCCGAGAGAGGACTTGAATGGGGATTGGGCCGCTCTACCCAGGCCAGCCCAGGCATATCTTCCTTAAAAATAGCCAAGAGGCCGGACCTGAGAGCACCCATCCGCTGCCCCCCTTCCCAGCGGCCTCTGGAGCGAGAGAGAAGCCTGGGAACCTAGAGAGGCGCCGATAAACCTCCTCCAGCCGGCGGCCCAGCGAGGCCTTGAAATGCTCCCCGCTCCTGGCAACGCGCAGCCAACCTGCAGGCTCCCGCTTGGCCCAAGGGAGGGAGGGGGCGAGCCAAGGAGGAAAGGAGGGAAAAGGAAACATCCCCCCAAAAAGCAGCCGATTTGCCAACCACTCCTGGTTTGTCCTTGAGCTGAGGCCTTGGGGAGAAAGTTGGGGCGCTGGACCTAGAGGAAAAAGCCACAAGAAACATAATTTTCTCTGTCCCAGGCGCCTTCCAGAGACAGCGAATATTCCTGGGTCAGGGGATCCCAGGTTTCAGTCCACTAGGAGCGCCAGCGGAAGGTGTGGGTAAAGGACCGGGGTGGTAGGGGGTGGTGGGAGGTGGTAGGGGGAGCCCAGGGCTGGCAGAAAGTGGCGGCTCAGGGAATCTGGGGTTCCTAGCAAGCAAGCACCCAGCAAAATCAAGCGATCCCACCCAGGGATGTGGCAGCGGCCATCCACAGCGCAGCCTGTTATAGCCCCACCAGTGTACAGAGCAGGGGATTGAAGCTTAGGGAGGATGGGGAGGGCGAGGGCGAAGGATCGCCGCAAGGCACCGCACCTCCCGCTGCGGCCCGTGCCGCACAACGGAGAGAAGCCGACGTAGAAGCGACGCCTGTGTCTTTGGCTGTGGGGAGAACGCTCAGATGGCACCGCGCCAGACACTAAGCCCCAAGCCCCTGGCTTGTTGCTAAGAAAATTCACTGCCTGGTCCAGACTCAGCCCTTTTCGCCCTTTGAGGGTCGCGCGTGGGAGGCAGCTCTGAGACCCCAGGCAGCGCTGGAGCCACAGATTTCCTCGGAGAAAAGAGAGGCCGGGGCACCTTCCCGCTCGCCCAAGCCCAGAATTTCCACTCTCCAGAAAGGCCTTGCAGGCCCCTGCCGCGGGCCTTGGCTTCGCGCCTCTCTCGCTCACCCCCGCGAGGATGATTGCCGGTTTCAAACCGCGAGCAGGGAGTCTGCTTCCTTCTCCGCTGCGTCCGAAGGATCGCAGATTGGAGCGTGCTCCAGAGACCGCTTTTCCCCAGCACCGGCCTCCGAGATCCCCAGGACCCCTTCAGCCTAAGTTCCCACGTCTCGGGTCCATGGCGCCAATTCTGCTAAGGAGCAGGCTAGGAGCTGGGAGAAGTCGGAGAAGAAATCCTAAGTGTGCGCCCCCAGCTTCCGGGGTGCAGGCCGGCCGGGGTCTGAAGGAGCGGCTGCAGTGCGTCCAGCCTGTGCTCAGGCCTTTCGCGGCTCGTCGCCCCACGCAGCCTTTGTTTGGGCCCCCGTGAACCTCCGCACCTCTCATTCAGGGAAGAGAATTCCCCGCGCAGCCGCGCTCGTTTCTTCCTCTGGGATTTTCCTGAGAATCCCCAGGAGTTGGCCACGATCCCATGGGGGGTTTCCTTCTACCCAGCCCCGCGTCCTGGCCTAGTCCTTAACACCCGGGTTGCCTTCACTCACGCTGGGAATCCATGACTGATTTCCTACTGCCGAAGCGGGTGGCGTCCCCAGCCTGATTTCGGAGCAGCACGGGTTTCGTGCAGGGCGATATCCCGACCCCTTCCCCCATCCCTTTAATCTGGTTTGAGAAGCCTGTGCTGGGGAAAAAAACGCGGCCTAAAAAGAAAAAATAAAAAAAAAAAAAAGGTTTAACCGAAAGCGTGAGAGCCACCCGCCGGCTGTTATCTGGGGCTGAAGGCTGCGGTAATCGATGGGTTATTTTTACGCGGTAATAGGGCCCTGTGATTGCTCTATTAACCTTTAGACCTGTCTGAGGGACTCTCCGGCTCGCAGCCCCGCTGCGCTGGGGCCTCCAGGCCCTGACGCCGACTCCCAACTCAGGCCTGACACATTCCCCTCCCCCATTCCCTGGAAGAGCCCCCTCCACGGAGAAGCTCCCCTGGACCGCCGGGCTCCCCAGTCCTTGCCACATCCCTTGGATTGGTGCTGCGGCCGCCGCAGGCTGCAGAAAAAACGGGGAATGATTAGAAGAGAGGAGGCAACGGGAGATGGGAAGCGTCGCCAGGAAGGGATGCAGACTTTGCTTAAATACATGAAATTGAGGGTGAGGCAAGGGCTCCCGACCGTCTCCCTGGGCTTTTGGGAAGGTAAAAGGGAGGCTTCAGTCTGTATGCTCTGATTTTAGGAGGCAGTCTGGGTGTCTCCTGAACCTCCCCGGAATCCGGGCAGGATACCCCTGCCCAGAAACTAGCATCCAGCCGGGCACTCCGGGTGACCCAGTGCCCCACACAAGATCGGGAGTTGAGCCCAAGAGGTCACCTTCTTCTCTACTGGCCCCGCCCCTCGCCCACCACCGCGGGATGAGGACCACGGGAAGGGGGGCGGGGAGGGAGAAAGGAAACTCATTAATAAAGCTGACCCTGGGCACCACAGCGAACCCAATCGACCCCCGGCTGGGCTGCGGGCGATTCCCCGCGCCCTGCCTGTAGCACTTGGGCGTTTTCCGCGGAGACCCCAGAGCCTGGACTTTGCCTGCTGGAGGAGCTTTCCGCACAGCCCCGCTGCCGGCGCCCGGCGGAGGTGTAGCCGGGGCCGCGCACCCCCGCCCCGCCCTTGCACGTGACTCCCACAGGCCAGTCAGCGCCCGCGGGCCGAGTCGCAGGGCCAGGGACCAGAGCCGCGAGCAGGGGACTCGGAGGCTACAGGCGCAGGGGCAGCGAGAGGCTTCGTCGCCGCTCCAGCTCCGGGGGCGCCCAGGGGAGCGCGCGCGGAACCTCCAGGCCCAGCAGGTAGGGCTTTTTTCTTCCCTTTCTTTGCTCCTTGCCACGGTCCCTCAAACTCGGAGTTTCTCCGCCCTTGCTTGTCTGGAGGTAGAGAGGTAGCTAGTGGGAGGAAAAGAGACGTGCGCTCCTCCCTTCCCCGAAATTGGCCAACCCCGCTCTGCTTTTGACTTTGCCTTAGCAACATCTTTAAGTCAAAGTAAGACTTGGGGGCAAAACAGAGAAATATTGGAAGCGCTTTTGGATTCTTTCCGTGTGAACTTGAACGCTTTCAATCCCTGCCCCCGTGTGCACTTTCTTCAGCCCTTGTTTGCACATCGCAGGCCGGGGCCTGGGTGGTCACGGTTGCCGTGTGAAGTTACCGGGACTGACGGACCCGAGACAGGCCGCACGGCAGCTCGCACATGGAGGGAAGTAGACGGAGGCGTGTCGCCCACCAGCGACTCCGGGGACGCAGGGTGTCGGTGCCAGGCAGCGCCGCTGGGCCTCAGGGGCCCCCGGGAGACACTCCGAGGTGCGGGAAGGCTGCTGAGTGGCGGAACTGTTCATGCCCTTTCTGGCCAGCCTCCTCGGCCTCGGGGCTGGGGTCCAGGGACTGAATGTTCCTCTGGAAGCTCACCACCCCACCTACCCGCGCTGCTTCTGCCTGAAACTGACCGAGGGCCCGAGCCCGGACCGGAGCCGTGACTTCCCTCCGCCGGCCACGGCGCTGCCAGGATCCGCCGGGTTATGTCGCTTGGCTTTGGGCTCAGGGGTCACCGTGGGCGGAGGGGGGTGCCGGGGTGGCGGACTGCCACCAGGTTGAGGAAAGGAGGGGCCTTTTGGTTGGGGAAAGAGCGTGGTGGGGGACCCGCGGCCGATGGAAGCCCTGGGGTAGCGCGGCCCGCACCGCGGAGTTTGGGGAAGCCCCTCGGGGAAAGTGTTTCCTGTATTCCCAGAAAAGGAAGACAACCAAGAGCAGGTTTCAGGCTTTTTAAGAAAGCCTGGGGTGAGGAGGTGATGCTCCGCACATTGCTGTGTCTCCTCCCCGGCTGCGGCCGACTTGGTTGTGCCGGCTAGAGTGTGACCGTCCTCCTCGCTGCAGGCCCAGAGCGGAGGCGTAAGCTCAGGCCAGCGAGGAGTCTCCTGTAAAGGAACGGGTATATCTGGGCGCTTGCAATTCTCCCATTCTCAAAAACAGATCGGAAGAGGGCTGTTGGTTGATTCTTGAAAGGAGAGCGCATTTCCTGTTGGCCTGCGAATTTGGGGTGAACTGGGACAAGTGATCAGAAGGAGGGCAAAAACTCCCCGATTCTGGCAGCCTCAGGAGCTGCTGGGCTTTCTCCACCAACTGCAGGATCCAGGTTCAATTTCAGCAACTAGCCAGAGGCGTTTTCAAAGAGTAGCTAATTTCTTGTCTTTCCAGAAAGTTATAGAGGGGTATTTTCTCCACCTTCTATTGTTGTAGTAATTCAACTCAGGCAATGTATCAGCCATTTGAAAAGGCAGAGAATGTGATAAAGACAAATATTAGATTCATGACATTTTTTGCGTCTACATTTTAAAGTCTGCAAGTTGCTACCTATGTGTATACTGGAAGTTGGATTATAAAATTCTAAATCTCCTTTCTTTGCCAACGTTATGAGAGAAAAAATATTACATTATCTTGAAGAACTGCAGGAGTTGAGTATTCCAGAAAATGCAATGAAATAGGTCAGCTACTTCATTTAAAAGTCAAATACTGGATCTTTTATTAAGATAAACTCATAATTCTTTAACTTTATTTTCAAAGGGAAAAGTTGGTGACCTCAGGTCAATTTTTTATCTATTCTCTAACCAAACTTGCTGGAATGAACTATTCGCCAAACCAATAGTTTATGGCATATTTTGAAAGCAAATAAGCTTTTAGGAGTTACCATGTGACTATATAATACAATACAGTACTATTAATTCCATTATTATTACTAGTGATGTTTCAAACAAGGTGAAAAGCATTATGTGGTGTGTATTAAAGATTCCATTTCCAGATTTTACAGTAATAAAGATGATCATTTATTATAGTACATACATCTGAGGTACTTTCTTGTGTTACATTAGAAATCTGTAGTAATAGTCAACTGTGTTTTAGAACTTTCTTTTTGCCTGTTAGGACAGTTTTATAAAAATCTGTTATAAGTGTTTTACAAATATTAATTTATAATCCTCACTCCTAAGCTTCATGGTGACTCTACAAAATAGGTGCCTTTAATATTTGCATTTTGCAGATGAGGAAACTGAGGCACAGAGAGGCCAAGTAATTTGTCTAAGGGTATTTATTCCATAAGTGTCAGAGCCTGGATTCAGTATATAGTTAATATTCTTGTAAATCTACTATTGAAATAAAAAAGAAATATTTGTCGGGAGTAGTTGCCTTTTCTTAAAGAGAGAAATGGAGTGTGCTGGACAGCTTCAAGCCCCTGGAGCCCTGCTGATCCCATCCCCTTCCCCCACCCCTTCTGATTGTACTTTGATCTTAGACAAGTTTCAGAACTTTCCAGTGCTTCAGTTCCCTCTTGTAAAATGAGGAGAGACACCTGTACAATGAGTAGAGTTGTAGAGAAAAAGACCTGGAGGTAATTCAGACAGCAGGTAATTCAGAAAGTGGAGCTCTTGTTTTATCAGAAAAATTGCCTGATAGCAAAACGCAGGATGCTGGGAAGTATATAATCAAGTTCCACAAACTGCTCTTTCCCCAAGTGTCCACCTTGGTGTTAGGATTCTGCTTATGGGTGGACTTGTGATTCTATATGAAGAACCCATTCAGTGAATTAGAATGGTACAGTGCGTTATTCTGTAGAGCGACATTGTACATTCTTCTCACTTTTCTGGTTCTGATATACAATTTGCAAAACGACTAAATTATAACTATTTGCAAGAAACCTGTAACTTGTCCGATTTGACGTCCACATGGTATAGTGTATGGATGAGGGTTTCACAACCCTCTTCATGAGGCTTAGCAGATACCGTTGTTCATTTATAAACATTTGGACTCTACTTCTGTTTTGTCTTTTGTGTTTGTTTTTTTGTTTTGTTTTAATTACAAACAAAAGTTTGTTAGGTTGTTGTTTTGTATAAAGTTTGTCCTTGTCCCCTCAAGGACAATCTAAAGTTCTTTCTAGGTCAGTAATGCTTGGGGAGAGATGGGGGAAGGGAGAAGATGAGAGATTTCTTGGGTCCCAGGCACTCTGCATGAACTCCAAACTTTTGGGCTTACACTTACAAAAGTATGCTTGCAGAATAAGGTAACATTAAAGTCCTTCCTGACAAGCAATACAAAAATAATTGACCAAGATCACAACCAATAACTGCACGCCCAAGACCGGGGAAGCCCCTAGTCCCCAGGGCACCTCTCCCCAGGCTTGCCTGGGCCGCCTGACCCAATGCCTGGACAAAACAAAGGCCCGTGCTTCCCGGCACCGCGGGGCCTCCGGAGCTGGACCCCCAAACCCCCATGGCGACTTCGATTGCAGCGTGGAAGAAGCAACCACGCAAGTGGAGAGTGGGTTCTGAAAGCTCTGGGATGAACCGCCCTCTCTCTTTTTCTCATTCCTCCTTTAGGACCCTGGCTGCAGCGAGGAGGAAGGAGCCAGCCTGGCCCTCTGCCTTGGAGCCAGCCTAGCAGCTTCTGCGCCCGTGGCCGCAGGTGTCCTGGAGTCCTCTCGGCTTGACGAGTGGGGGACCCGAAGGCCCGTGCGCCACCTCCAGGCTTGGACGCTGCCCTCCATCTTCTGCCCCCAATAAGTGCTCCGGACCTCCAGGCCCTGGGGTGAATTCAGCTGCTCCTGCATCACCTTCCGGAACCACCAAAAATTCAAATTGGGATTTTCCGGAGTAAACAAGAACCTAGAGTCTTTTGCTCAATGCTGGATTTAATACGTATATATTTTTAAGCGATTTGGTTTTTTCCCCTTTGATTTTTGATCTTCGTGACAGTTCCTCCCACGCATATTATTGTTGTTGCCGTCGTTTTTTCTCCCCGCGTGGCTCCTTGACCTGCGAGGGAGAAGGAGGACCCCGAAGCCGGGAGCTCTCAGGGGCGATGTACCAGAGCCTGGCGATGGCCGCCAACCACGGGCCGCCCCCGGGTGCCTACGAGGCGGGCGGCCCCGGCGCCTTCATGCACGGCGCGGGCGCCGCGTCCTCGCCGGTCTACGTGCCAACGCCCCGGGTGCCCTCCTCAGTGCTGGGCCTGTCCTACCTCCAGGGCGGAGGCGCAGGATCTGCGTCCGGAGGCGCCTCGGGCGGCAGCTCTGGTGCGGCCGCGTCTGGTGCGGGGCCAGGGACCCAGCAGGGCAGCCCAGGCTGGAGCCAGGCGGGAGCCGACGGAGCCGCCTACACCCCGCCGCCGGTGTCGCCGCGCTTCTCCTTCCCGGGGACCACCGGGTCCCTGGCGGCCGCCGCTGCCGCCGCCGCGGCCCGGGAAGCTGCGGCCTACAGCAGTGGCGGCGGAGCGGCTGGCGCGGGCCTGGCTGGCCGCGAGCAGTACGGGCGCGCCGGCTTCGCGGGCTCCTACTCCAGCCCCTACCCGGCCTACATGGCCGACGTGGGCGCGTCCTGGGCCGCGGCCGCCGCCGCCTCCGCCGGCCCCTTCGACAGCCCGGTCCTGCACAGCCTGCCAGGCCGGGCCAACCCCGCCGCCCGGCACCCCAATCTTGGTGAGTAGGAGCGCGAGGGCTGGGGGCGTGGGAGCCGGGGCAGAGGCCGTCTTGAGCCCGGTCTAGGGCCTCTTGTTTTTCCACGAACGCCTTCGTTGGGCTGGGGATGGTGCTTGACTACCTCGAGTTTCCAGGGAAGGCAGAAGCCAGTGCGGGGCTGGCGACATCACAGCCCCAGGAGATCGACTTCTGTGCAGTGGGCCGGACCTGCCAGCTGGGGCCTCTTCTGAGACGGTGGCAGGGTCGGAGTGCGGCCTGACCGCCATCCCGGGCGTCGGCCGTGGCCACGCCGCGCTGTGGGTGACGCGGGAGGACAGCGGGCTCCTTGGAGAGCCGGGGGCAGCGGCCTGAGATCACCTCGTGGATGGTGCTGTCGATTGCTGGGTTTCTGCGCCCATTTCCTCCCCACCCGCCCTCGGGCCTCCGCAGGGAACTGATTACAACGGTTTGGACCTTAGACCTTCTGGGCCATTTGGCGGCCCAGTTGGAGGATCCCTCGGGGTGGCTGATGATTTTCCCGTCGGGGGTCTCACACCCAGAACAAAGGAGGGATGGACAAAGGAGACGCCAGGGAGATGCGCGGAACTGGAGCGGGCACCTTGCGGGTGGCACTGGCCCGGTGCGTGGGAGCATCATGCCGGCGGCCGAGGGGGAACACAGGGACCCCAAACGGGCTTGTTTATGACGCCCGAGTTAAATGGAGACTTTGCAGTCGCTTGCACGCGTGGAGCCTTCTCTTCTCGCGTGGGCCAGGGTTGGAAATAACCATTGTGGTAGGTTCCATATAGTATTTGCATCGGATGTCAGACGGGGAGGGACGGCAAACGTGTCTCAACGTCCACCGATTCACAAATAATCCCAGGGGCAGCGGGATCTGAGAAGGGGCCTGGGTACACAGGCTAGGGAAGAAAGGGAAGTGGCAATCCCTAGTTCAAAATGCAAACGACCTCTGGAATTTCGGCAAAGGACGGAGGAGGGAGTTTGAATTGAGCCCACCCTGTGGGGGAGGGGAAGCCCGGACTTGAGAAGCAAAGCTCGCGTTTATTGACCACCTACTAAGTGCTAAATCCTTCTGCATTTGTTCTCACTTTGAAGAGTAAAGGCTGCCCCTGCCAGGTTTCCAATCTTGGGCTGGCTCCGATAAGGGCCCGGGCTTTGAAGGGCTTTTAAATTATTCTCTGGCTCTGGGTGGCCAGGGAAGGTCCCCGGGGGTGCAGCAGAATACACATCGCCGGCAAACTGATTAACCCTGGAAGTGGCGCCGAGGCCCGGTCTGTGGCTCTTGGTGTTCGCCTCCCCCTCATCCCTCTTGGGGGAGCCAGACGGCAACCCCCAGGGGAGGAGGGGCCCGGCCGAGCCTCGCAGCGACCTTTGCTAGATTGGGCGGCGACATCTCCACACAATGGCGCCCGCAGGCGGGGGGGGGGGGGGGGGGGGGGGGGGCCGGGGCGCCCTGGCCTTGCGCGCTTACGGGGTCCTCTCCAGGGCCCTCTGGGGTCTCTGACTTAAAATAGGGAGGACTGGGTCAGGAGATCGAGACCATCCTGGCCAATATGTTGAAACCCCGCCTCTACTAAAAAAAAAAAAAAAAAAAAAAAAATAGCCGGTAGTGGTGGCACGCGCCTGTAGTCCCAGCTACTTGGGAGGCTGAGGCAGGAGAGTCGCCAGAACCCGGGAGGCGGAAGTTGCAGTGAGCCGAGATCGCGCCACTGCACTCCAGCCTGGCGACAGAGCAAGACTCCGTCTTAAAAAAAATAGGAGGACTGGTCCAGGGAGAGTTTGCTTTGTAACCCCGATAATCCTGGAGGGGATTTGGTGTTTGGTTAAGCAAAAGAGAGTTCAAAATCGTGAGTTACATCCATCAGTGTAAAAACGAAATATCGGCAGGGCGCGGTGGCTCACACCTGTAATCTCAGCACTTTGGGAGGCCCAGGCGGGCGGATCACGAGGTCAGGAGTTCCTGGCCAATGTGGTGAAACCCCATCTCTACTAAAAATACAAAAATTAGCTAGATGTGGTGGCGCTTGCCTGTAGTCCCAATTACTTCGGAGGCTGAGGTAGGAGAGTCGCTTGAACCCCGGAGGTGGAGGTTGCAGTGAGCCGAGATTGCTCCACTGCACTCCAGGCCTGGAGACAGAGGGAGACTCCGTCTGTCTCAAAACAAACAAACCCAAAAAAAAAAAAAAAAAAATCCCGAAATACCATGTGAGTGTGCACACAGGATTCAGATTTTTTTTTTTTTTTGAGACGGAGTCTGGCTCTGTCGCCCAGGCTGGAGTGCAGTGGCCGGATCTCAGCTCACTGCAAGCGCCGCCCCCCAGGTTTACGCCCTTCTCCTGCCTCAGCCTCCCGAGTAGCTGGGACTACAGGCGCCCGCCACCTCGCCCGGCTAGTTTTTTTTTGTATTTTTTTAGTAGAGACAGGGTTTCACCGTGTTAGCCAGGATGGTCTCGATCTCCTGACCTCGTGATCCGCCCGCCTCGGCCTCCCAAAGTGCTGGGATTACAGGCTTGAGCCACCGCGCCCGGCCAGGATTCAGATTTTAAAATGTCAGTCATGCCATGTGTCATGCCATGTAGAGGCTGCTGCTGATGTGATGTTTCCCAAATTTCTGTGTCAGCAAATGGCAAGCTGACCTCCCGGAGCGTCTCTCTGCCAAGAACTGCCACCTGCCTTCTCTGGGCTCTTCCCGGATAGTTTATGAAGTCCACAGCCTTTGAGTCTGGCCTAGAGGGTGGATTTTCTCTTCCGCATGCAGCCAAGTGTTTTAGGAGAGGTGTAACTCTGTGAGGGAACACAGGGCATGTTGAACTTGTTGGCATTCATAGCTTCAGCGTGTTCTGCAGGTGGCACTTACATAAAAGCAACTGAAGTTAAAAGCAATGCATGTGGTCAGGCGCCAAGGCTCATGCCTGTAATCCCAGCACTTTGGGAGGCTGAGGGGGGAGGATCATTTGAGGCCAAGAGCTCGAGGTGAGCCTGGGCAACATAGTGAGACCCCATCCCTACAAAACATTTTTGAAAATTAGTCAGGCATGGGGTTGTGTGCCTGTAGTCCCAGCCTCGGAAGCTGAGGTAGGAGGATCACATGAGCTCAAGGCCACTGCACTCCAGCCTGAGTGACAGAGTGAGACCTGTCTCAAAAAAAAAAAACAAGCCAGTGCAAGTGAATGTGCTTTTTATATGTTTTTCCCATCACTTGGGCTCTCCTACCTGCCTGGCAGCTTTAGTGAGGTCCAGCATCACGTACTAGCTGACCCTGAGTGATGGAGGGAAGATGAGAATCGACCCCAGCGTTCTAAGGAGTTGCCACTGAGCCCTAAGATGGCCAGACAGTGTGGTGGGAGGAGCACAGGGTTTTAAAGTTGGGCAAACCTAGATTCAGTTCCAGGAGCTTCGTGTCATCTTGGGCAAGTTACTTACCTCTCTTGGTCTCACCTCTTTTTCTGTAAAATGGGATCATCGTAACTTTTTTTAGTGTTGCCTTAAATTAGAAAAATAAGGTAATACTTGTGAAGAATTTGGCTTTGGCCCTTCATAAATGACGGTTATTTTATTGAATAGCCACTCACTATCATGCAGAGTTACCAATTTTGCTGGTGTATCCAGGACTGAGGGTTTTCCCGGAATGTGGGTTTGTTAGTGGTAAACCTGGGACAGTCCCCAGTGAACACAGACTGTTGGACACTCAATAAAATGGTGCATGACCCATCGTTGCAGTTTAGTAATGAGCTGAGGACAAAGGAGAAACAGCAGAGGAGAAGCAGCTGAGAGTAAAGGAGAAGCAGCATTCTTCTTCCCTCTGCTGAGACTCCAGAAGTTGTCACTTAAGTGCTGCCATCTGCATTTGGTATTGAAGGGTGAGGAAGAGATTGTCAGGAATTTTTTTAAAAAAGAAATATTGGGCCGGGCGCGGTGGCTCATGCCTGTAATCCCAGCACTTTGGGAGGCCGAGGTGGATGGATCACGAAATCAGGAGATGGAGACTATCCTGGCAAACACGGTGAAACCCCGTCTCTACTAAAACATACAAAAAATCAACTGGGCGTGGTAGCCAGCGCCTGTAGTCCCAGCTACTTGGGAGGCTGAGGCAGGAGAATGGCATGAACCCGAGAGGCGGAGCTTGCAGTGAGCCCAGATGGCGCCACTGCACTCCAGCCTGGGTGGCAGAGCGAGATTCCGCCTCAAAAAATATATATATATATAGATCATTTTATAAGAAAAAAAAGAAAAAGAAAAAGAGGCCAGGCACAGTGGCTCACACCTGTAATCCCACCCTTTGGGAGGCTGAGGTGGGAGGATTGCTTGAGCTCAGGAGCTTGAGATAAGCCTGGACAACATAGTGAGAGCACATCTCTAAAAAAAAAAGAAAAAAAAAAATTAGCTGGGCATGGTAATGCATGCATGTAGCTCCAGCAACTCAGGAGGCTGAGATGGGAGGATCATTTGAGTCAGGGAGGTTGATTGAGGCTGCAGTGAGCCGTGATCACACCACTGTACTCCTACCTAGAGAACAGAGCAAAGACCTTGTCTCAAAAAAGAAAAAGAAAGGATATACTCTACTTTACTAATATGTTGTGTAGCACCATGAAATAATACAATGCAACCTGGCCTTTGGTTTAAATAATATACTTGTCACTCTAAGTAAAACTATACAGACTAATTCACCCTTAACTCAGAATCTGTTTTTAATTTCAATGAGGAGAAATAAGAGAACGTTTTTATTTTTCTATGTAACTGCTGTAGTTTTAACAGTATCTTGCCATAGTTCTTATGTTGGTTATTTGAATAGGGCAAAAATCAAAATAATAAAAGTTAACAGGGGCCTCTGTAAAGCCCTGAACTTAGGTTGGAAGAAGTAAGTGTGGCCTGATTGCAATGTACGTGAACTTTAATTCACTCCAAGTTCCATATGAGCTATGACCCTAAAACAACTGTGAAAATCATTAATTAGACTGCATGAATGGAATTAGGTGACCTTACTGAGGGCAGGTACAGAG